AGGTTTATAATGATTTTTGACCAAAATAATGTTTGTCCTTAGTTGTTTTGAAATTTTTGCCCAGTTGTGTACAAATTATGTTTAGTCCTACAGTTATAAATGATTAAAATATTATAACTACTGGTAATTGGGTTTAAACATATTGTATGAGATATGCAGGAGAATTGAGGACAAGTTCTATTCTAAACACTGATATGCCCTCTTCCCTAATTTTTTTTAATGCATTATTTTATGAGTATATCTATTATACCTGTTTGTTTAAGGAAGTTACAAAAACTTGTAAGAAATTACTTTAAAGTAAGAAGCTTCAGAAGCAAAAGTTACTACAAACTGTTATGCTTTGATTTAAGTTAATGGCTGCACAAGTTTGGTATGAGGCCAAATTGGGAGGAATGGGAATCACATATTGGAGCAAATAGGCTAACATTTAGTCATGTCCAAATAATTAAAATGACCAATTTCTACACTTGTTTCGTGTTATGTAATAAATCATTTACCATTCTAATTTTTTTAAAAGACACATTTTATAGGAAAAATACGCTTCATTATTATTACATTAGTATTACATTGAAGTACTGTAATTTATTTATTGAATAAAGGTGATTTATTTTTTTTACAATGTGAAAGAAAATCAAAGTGGTAAAAGAAAGTGCAGCTAAACTGAGATTTTCATTCCCTTCACAAAGATTGTGGTAGAAAATACTCACTGGCCTGTTAAAAGATATAGAGAGAGAGAGTAAATAAGCTATCTTGAAAGAGACTAAATTAACTAAAACTGCCAATTTGAAAGTTTCTCCAAATATGCATGTTGTTGAAATCCATGTTTACAATGTTTTCAATCTCACAATTGTGACACTGTTGTTATGAAAAGACAAAAGCAAATGGAAAATCAAAGAAAATGTAATAAAACAGAAAATTCAATATTTTGTAGTTGAATATGGAATTAATTTGCAATCGTGAAAATTTAAAAGAAATCCTGTTCCACTTGTGAAATGAATTTCATATCCAACTACAAAGCCTTGAATATCCTCTATTTATCCCATGTTTACCCCTTTATCCCGTGGATATGCCTCATTGGATAATTTTTTCATAATCCACAGTTGTGACGTCACAATGGTTTTTGCGTTAGCGCGATGAAGTAAAATAAAGTGGAGTCCTATATAAAACAGTGTAAAACATTGGTTGTGAAGTATTAAACATGGGATAAAAAGAATCTCCCATGATTTGTAGTTGGATATGACATTTATCCAACTCGTGTGTTTTTATCCCCTCGCCAAGGCTCGGGGATAAAAAACACACAACTCGTTGGATAAAAATCATATCCAACTACAAATCATGGGAGATCCTATATTTAGTAGATTACTAGATGGTTAGATAAAAGTTATATGCATGTATGTATTCAGTGTTCGAAATTCAGAATTATTTTCTATGGGTCCAAAGGACCCACAGATAAAGGGACTACATGAGTTCTTCCAGGGCAAAAATAATACCATCAAATATTTGGGGAAAATAAACTTTTACACATTGATGATCTCTGTAAGTTTATTGCTTCATATGAAATATGTCAATTTAATAAAGGGTATCTACAACTCGTAAGTATTAACAATATGAAACGGTAAACCATTAATCCTTACACAGTCTTACTTGGTCATATGTAACACCTTATGAGTTTAACGTGTTTATATTACTGTAAACGTACTTTTCCTCGGAATAACAATTTCTGTTTTTAAAATCCGCGGGTAGAAAATAACGCAGGTTTCTTAGATTGCCTCAATATTTTGATAAAATTTACTTACGTATACTTGGACAATTTTCCGTGGAAATTTTGTAACCGCATACATGTAGCGTAAATTTATTCCATGCAGAAAAAAAAAATTATATTTTAAGTATTTATTTAAAATGCACATGAAAAGAAGAATTGATACGATCTTGATAAAAAAAAATAACAAGTTTTACCCATCTGAAGTCCAATTTCTTTTAAAGACACTCATTGGTTAATTTGTTTAATATATCCAAAAAATGCAGGAAAGATATAAAAGTTAATAAATACATAAACCAATAGACGTTAACTTAAATCACAACTTCTTAAGCCTTTCCAACAAGCGGAAAAGAAAAACAACCATGTATTTTTCCAAGCTCGTCGGATAGGTCCGAGATGTGATTGATGTTAACTTGTTTCCCGGCAAATCATCGTCGGCCCAAAATTATTTCAAGGACCCATTTAGTCATACTATTCGTAAGTCTTGAACATTTGAAAACATCCTTGCTCATGATATACATTTAAATAAAATATAGAGTCTGTAATAAATGTAACGTCTCTACAGTTAAGCTTTCCTTCATATACTAGTATATTTGTAAATTTACCACTTTTTTACTCCATCTTCCGCCCACTCTTTTATTCGTAAATCTACCACTTTTCTACAAAATCCATTTTGGTTTGCTTGGGTAGCCATTGTAAAGCCACACGTGCATTAGATATTGCGTGATTTGAACTTGGAGCATTCAAACGCTTTTTTAATCCGATGTTTACACAGATTTCAAGCACATGTTTGACAACGACAAGTCACCAATCTCCATGATAACATTGGTTACAATAAATTTTGTCGACATCCCAGCCAATAAAAAAGGGAGATATAGTATTCTAGAAGTGGATGAAAACTTTTGACATCCTTCAGTAAAGTAAAAAAGGGAATCAGCATTCATTTATTATACATTTTTTGCATCTCTACTTTCGTATTCGGTCATCGCAGGAAATCCATTTTTTTAAAACAAAAGATAAGAACTAGTTTTAGATCTGAATTAGGCTAAATAATGTTGTCATTTGCTGTATTTGACAACTGAATGAACTTTCACAATTATTGCTTACAGACTATTAGGGCTGCCATGAATCAGAAGATTTTCGATTCAATTCAAAGAAAAACAACGGTTTTCGAATAATTTCGATTCGATGATAAGATTATAAGAAAAAGAACCTTTTTTTATTTTTGTATAAAATCTGTAATGTTTGATAATTCAAAATAAATAAATAAATAATGATTCATACTTTAAGTAGATTTGTTAATGTAAGTATTTATGGAATGTAAAGCCAAGAAAACAAAGGGAATACCTTATGTTCTAATGACCCAAGAATCAAATGTCTGAAATCCAAATTATTAAAATACTGGTCATTGGTTTCAACAGATGAAACATGCAAACAAATCTTTCAAACAAAACCAATGATTGCATATGCTAAACATAAAAGTATTGGTGATTTGCTTACGAAAGCTATTTTGCCAAAATAGAAATTACAGTTGGATCCCTGATGTGATTTAAAGTTTTGATTCACCAATACATCAAACTGCCGAAACACATTGCTGTCATTACAATACAGTCAATAATTAATTTCACATAAATGATGTCAGTATTTAAAAAAAAAAAATAAGAAAATTCACAGCACTGTGTCGGGTCCTCTAAATTCAGAATTGTGTGGCTGATGGGTGTTGCCTGTTAGTAAATGCACTTATCTTCTGTGCCATCTTTCTGTAGAAAATGGAACTTGGAAGTAGTCCCCCACTGACTTCTTTGCGGCCATTTTCGTGTTTTGTTTACTATAACATGATTTGACATTATTTCTTCCGATTAACCAATCAGAATGCGCCTAACAACAGCGGATGTTAGTCTGAAAAATCAAACCTGAATTGAATCGAAATCCAGGAAAAACGTACCGAATTGAACCGTAAGATTTTGAATCGTGGTTAACCGATATTTCGGTTAATCGTTGCAGCCCTACAGGCTATATCAACAAAGATCACTCTTCAAAAGGCCAAATTAAGCAGCCATTCAAAGCCAAAGTAATGAGCATGAAAAATATTTATATTTGTTTATATAAGTTATGTTAAAGGAGTTTTTGACTTCTTCATTGCAGTTGATATTTGAGTTTAATTATGGCAGTGGTCAATTTAGACAATATTTACATATATATCTTCTTAAATCAATGCGTAAAACAACACGTGCAATGCTACCTCTTTTGAGGTCTGAATCTCCCTCTTTTTCATCATAGTAGGTTAACATGTATGCTTGTATACCCCTTGACAATCAAAGCCATAAATTAAACTTTGAAAACTAATCAAAACAAATTGTTCCTATTTGTAAAATGCGTTGAGACTAATGGTAAATAAAATTGGTGACATGTTGATACACATTTAACAAGCATTTTGAGAGTATTGCATTAGCAATACTAGTCCCCTATCGGCAAGTGTAATCTGGTTCCCGTTAAGAATTGAAAATGTCATGATAATTCCGTCAAAAATCAATGAAGCGGAACGAAATGCAAACTTGATCTATAACTAATCAAGGTAAAGTCACATACCAAAAATCAGCTCAATATCTGAAAGCGTTTAGAAGAAAATTGCGGAAAACCCATAAAAATTGAAAAGGCCATAATTCCGTCAAAAATCAATGAAGCGGAATGAAATGCAAACTTGATCTATAACTCATCAAGATACACTCACATACCAAAAATCAGCTCAATATCTGCAAGCGTTTAGGAAAAAAATGCGGAAAACCAAGTGGGACAGACTGACAGACAGACAGAGGGACAGACAGACAGACAGACAGATGGACAGACTCATAGGAAACCTATAGTCCCCTCCGGTTTCACCGGTAGGGGACTAAAAACAAAATATGCATTTCACACCGTAAAAACTAAAATGTCTTTTATATCCGAGTAACTGAGTAGAAGATTTACTAACCGATACTCGCATTATTTGACAGTTAATCGGGTATTCATTGACAACACTAGTAATAATAGGCACTATTCCAATTTTTTGTTGGCCAAAGGTTGATTAAAATTTGACATGGATTGACATGAGCAAGATGGTTTTTCTGCATCACTGTTATCATTAGAATGTAACTCATTTTCTGATGGAAAAATGTGAAGTGCTGTAATGTTAGGTAGTGATATTAGGATGTCTGTATTAATATCTGTAAATGGACTTGCAATGTAATTTTTGTGTTTTCAGTGACGAATTTCTTGTGCGTGTCCAGGCACAAGTCATGACGCGAGATGACTCCAGTGGAGGCTGGGTACCAATGGGAGGAGGAGGGCTCTCAAATGTAGGGCTCCGGAAGATCACCCGTAAGACAGGGGAGGATCTACTGCACAGTGAATATCTCATTTACGGCACTAGGATAGCTGACAATTCGGTAGGTAATAGTACTTGGAGGAACAGAATACTTCATTGTCTTATATGTATTAAACCTTGTAGGAAATAATTATAACCCCCCCCCCCCAAACAAAGTTTAAGGGGGGTTCATAGGTATCTTCTTATCCGTCTGTCCATGCAATCTTTGTTATTTCTGTTTGAATTGAAAGTTTCCATTATTTTTTTAGAAAGTTACAGAAAATGCAGACAAGCTGTGTTTTTTGTTTTACATTGTGGACATTACATATGGTTTACATAAATGTTTATTTACATGAAGGTTAGTGTGCTTTTAGTTTCATGAGGCAACTCTTTAATCCATATTACTATAGTATCTGTCTATTCTGACCTGAAGAGTTAGATCACGTGGAGATGACAAGGTACAGATCACAAGTTTGGCAGGGAGAGACATTAACTTTTACTTTCACTTGCCCTTTGGGCTGGTAGAATGTTGTGTAAAATATACGTGTACTTGCCCAAATCTTGTTTTGGTTCTTCAAATGTGTGAAATCATATTTAAAGTACAAATAAGTTGTACAATCTAATTTGAGATAATACATACAGAGAGCAGTAATTTCCCAACGTACTGTAATTTTGTTAAATTGTTCCATGATCAATGTATTCTAGAATCCAAAATATGGAATTAGAGAAGCGATAATAGAGATAGCTAGTAGATACATGAAAGCACAGTATTAAAATGCACATCACTATGCTGTATTTATAGTTATAAGAGTACCTTAACTGAATTTAAACAACAATCTGTCAAATAAGGCCAACATTTGTTTATTAAATGATTTACGGGAAATTTTTTTGAAAAATTGGGTCGGGGGGGATAAATAAAAATAAAAATAAAATTCCATATTTTATGCAGTCGACTAAAAAAATAAAAATAAAATTGGAAAAAGTGTCTGATTTTTTATTTTCAATTAATCGATAAAAATTGCCAAATATACAGTGTGGAACTTAAAATATGATAACTGCAACACAAAAATTTAAGTAGACTATTAAACCCTTATGAGAAATGGGGGAAATCTAAGGAACTTCTTATCAAAATATTCATCATCATCATGATTAAAACAAAATGACCAAAGAAAAAAGTTTATATGAGAACCTCACTATGCTCAAAGTACTGAAAAAAATCATGTAACTAATCAAAAATGGAAAATACTGTTATAAAGAGAATCTCAATATAATATAAAACCCAGAATCATGAATTAAACCTGTATTTTACAATACAGCATACGTTAATGCATATGAACAAACTTTTGAAAGCTTGAAAGTATTAACACATTAAATACTGTTTCGTGTGCAGTTTCTGTTTATATCTTTTCTAAAACTATTTAACACACAACAAAATACATATGAGTTTCCAGTCTGTGCAGTGCCGCACATGATGTTACAAGTTTGAAAACATTTCGTGGATATACATGCAAGTTAGATACCTCACATTTTATTCTTCATAAAATTCGAACGTCTATTTTCAATCTCCGTTCATTTATCGTGTTCATCAGAGGTATCAAAATTGTAAAAGAGAACTACTGTATACGGTACCCACTGCGAAAGTGACAGTCCTGTCAGAATATTATGATGATCATTTCTTTTAATTTCTTTTTAACTCTGACGTAAATACGTCATTGGACAAACTCTAATTGATTTTCCTGTTAGCTACATGTATGGTTGACTTGGAAAAACTATTGTGTATTCTCAACTTTCGTAAAATTTGACATTTCTGCATCCATGTTGGCACGTTTTATACACTTCCGAAACAGTTGATAACAAACATCAATTGATTGGATGATAATAAGGGCTTTCAATTAAGTAGCCAATCAGAATTGACGACTTATTTGCACATTATTTTATTTTCTTAGTGCACTTGTATTTACGATCTGCAGGAAATTCAAAAATAAAATCAAAAACAGGGACTTTTATTTTTTTTTGGTTTTAGCTAAAATTGCAGTCGGCGCTACCGTAAATCATTTTATAAAAAAATGTTGGCTTAATGAAGTAAAATAGATATGAATGGTATGCATTGTAAAATGCCTTACTTTTCATTCATCAGTGTTGGATTTAATGATTAGTTGATAATTCAGTCCAAAGTTTGCATACAAAATTTTGCTTATTAGCCAAAAGTTTTGAAGTTTTTGAAAATTGCAAAATTTGAAATATCAGATCCCAGGGCAAAAAGGAAATTAATTAAGTTATAATTAAAATTCAGATTGGCAAGCTTGATAGCTCTAACTGTATGGCAGCAAAACAGTGTATGAGCATTTAGACAATATCATTGATACAAATACATACAGGTATGTATAGGATTAAAATCAGGTTTCATGTGACTGATGAGACACTTGGTCATTCAGCATGTTTCACCTATTGGTCAAAATGGTATGACTGGGTTATTTTGAGGTCTTTCATTCGTTTTTGTTTCATATCACCATTCTTGTGTGATGCATATATATTGACATACATGTTGAAATTAGTGATTTTTCTAATGAAGGGGGGGGGGGGGGGGGGGGGAGTAATTTTAAATGTGAATCATTTTTTACCAAAATATGCAGTATAATGGACTTTATCACTTAAACATTTGTTTTTGAATTAAAATATGTGGGTCAAGTAAGTTCTGATTTTTACTTGCTTGTTCACTTGCTCCAGTCAATATGTCAACCATTTTAAATGAGTATTCCTACATAAATCACACAAAATACTAAGCACAGTTTGATTTAAATTCATGATCCACTCCTGTCAAAGAAAGCTGAACAAACTCTTCAGGTCATTACTATAATAACCATACATGTCTATAATACACATTATATATCTCAAGCTTGATAAAAGAAAGAAGTGATGTAAAATTTTAAAGTCAAACCTTGTTACCTCAAATATATGGGGCTTAGATATCTGAGGATTTGAGATATTGAAGTTGAAAAACATGAAAGGAATTCAAAAGTGGTTGTGACTTCCAACTCACTTTAGAATATCCATGTATTCAAGATATCAATGTTCTAGATAACCGATATTCTGCTGTTTTAAGTTTTCCAGAAACCAGACTTGAACCATTCATTCTCATTGTCAAATCTGGGTTACTCTCTGAGTATTTAGCATTGAGTTTGAATCTTACCATGATTTGGCCACATAAAAAAATCTTTGTCATGATCTCAATCTTGATCTCTTAAAATCATAAATTATTTTAAAAAAATAAAAATTTGAGTGATATAAACATTAGAAATGCTTTTTTAAAAGAAGAATCTAGGACCTATTGGCTGTCCATGTCATTTGGAAGGTGTGATGGGTTTGAACCGTGCTTAGTTTATTTTGCAGGTAGGGACTAAATGCTTCCACAATATGGTACATTTACCTCAAAAACAAAATTTCCACCAGATATTATGGAAGTATATGTACACCATCCCAAAATGTAATCATACTGTGATGACTTTCATCTTTAATTTAAAATCTGTCTAGGAATATGTGAATTGCCAACAAAGCATGTATACATTTTTCATTAAAGTACAGAATAGTTATGGCAGGCCAATGTTGACATACTAAGGACTCACACCTGGGGCTTCTGATTACATGTGGCAAATAATGTTAAAATTATTATGAGTACGAGATCCCTGTTTATACAAGATTATGCACAAAGTATACATGTGCTAAGGGTTTAAAAGACAAAATTAGATACCTTTGTGAAGCTTTGGGAAGACTGATGAAGCTAATTATGAGGGTGAAGCTTTCTGTTGGATTAAAGAGCAACATATATCTCATCGTAAGGACAAGTCCAACTGAGAAAAAAATCAAAAGTTAGGAGTCAGGCATGGAACTCTAAACTTTTAACTGCCTCCCAAAGTCATAAATTTTTAAATACATGCACTTAAGTCATATTTGTAAACAAAAAAAATGTTGCAAGTACTTGTATTGCTAAACAGATATTTGTTTCTGATGTAACACCAGAACAGAAAGAATAATTCTGATTATGATTTAATAAATGATATAAAAATTGGAAGTGGATAAATGGTGTATGACAAGATTGAAGAGATAGATTACACCAGTGTTTTCAAATACAGGTATGATATTTAGTTGACTTCATTGCAGGTTGTTCTAGACTGCCTTCTAAAGCGAGATATTCGCTATGTGAAAGCCAACCCCAAGTTTCATCATTGGCAAACTGATGCTAAAAGATTTGGTCTTACTTTTGAGCGTTATGATGATGCAAAGGCGTTCGACAAGGGAATCCGGAGTGCAGTGGCTGATCTTGTGGACGGTACGTTATATCTGAAGGTTCCTTTACATGGATAAAACACAAATATCATTTTAGTTTCCATTTACATTAGGGTTTTCTTACTATCAAACAATAATTATTCTGTAGACTACTTCTTTTGACATGTCATAATTGTAAGATTTTTAATGACATTGTGGATGGTAAGACATTTTTGCATGTTGATTTTGTATGGATATGAGTATTACAGCCCCATGCATTGAAATAAGTTCTATCTCTCTAAATGCATATACAGTAAATTTTGTCTAATTCGGATATTGTGTATTCTGAAATCTTACAATGAAAAAATTTAGTCCCTTCAGTAAATTAAATTATTTAAAATGTTGTCTACAGCAAATTTCTATGGAAACAGTAGTGTCCATATAAGACAGGTATATACACCAGGTATACAATAAGTTGGTTCCTTCCTCATTATTTTTAGACTGTGCCCTGAATTTTCTTTACACATACAGAAGGAAATTTTTTTTAATGCACTGCTAACTTTTTAAATTATTTATTTGGAGTACTTTAATTTTCATTTTTTTTAATATGTGAACTTAAAAATGCATATATGTATGGTTAAAGTAGAATTTTTGTGCTTTTCAATAAAAAATTAATGCATATACAAATTTCCAGAAAGATACACAGTTGAACTTAGATATCTCGAACACGGATATCTCGATTACCATGGATATGTCGAAGTGATCAACCACTTATTTGTTTAGTATTTTACCCTTGATATCTCGAGCTCCTGGATATCTCAAAGTTTTTCCTCGGTCCCATCACGTTTGAGATAATGAGGTTTGACTGTAATATGATTCTGTATATATATACTTCAAGACAATAATGAATCAGAGAATTCAGCTTGATATGTGTCTTGGTCTCCTTGATACCAAGAAATCTTTCTCAATTTTCTCTATCCTCAAATATTACTCAAAAGAAGGAATCTCTTTTTTCAATATTCACTTAAATTGGGCAGATGGTTTTGGTTTGTGTGTCTGTAAATATTTTCTACTTTATCAGTGGATATCAGTGAAAGGTTGTGGAGGGAAAGGTGTTAGAATGAAGAATGTTTAATTAGATCTTGACATGTATGTGTAACCACCTTGGTAGGAGAATATGGCTATATTTATTCCCTTTATAGTTATTGTATGTAAATGCAAGTGTAAATATGTTTTGCAAGATTGCATCAGGGGCTAAAAATAGACACATGTGACATGTGGAGGAATGCAAGTATGTAGGGATCTTTTCATTGATTACATGATTCCATTGTGGTTAAATGTTTGTCAACTTTCAGTTACTTCCTGAATTAGTCAGTGTTTATTTTCAGTAGATTAAACATTTATTTTAAGAAACTATTAAATCCAATAACCCGAACGTCTGCATGGCGGCATGTATATCTTAATCATGTATTTTTTTTTCTCTTATGAAAACATGAAAGCAAGCAGAACAACATATAATGAATTGTATTTTTTAATAATTTGTTGATACTTACGTTCTCTCAGAGAGCACTTGTATTGGTTTAGTATTTTTAATATAGCTTATTATAATATGATTTATGAAAGGAACCATCAGTATGCATGGCTTAATTAAAAGTGCCCAAATTTTCATGCTCTATAAAAACAAAGCTCCAGACTTTTATATTTAACATTAGACTAGGGGGGAAAAATCACATTACATATTAACAAACATGCTGAAATATAGTGGTCATCTGATACACATTGCCATAATATGTTGAATAATTGATATGTGATTTTTTTTAGGCATACCAGCATATTATGTGCATTAATGAGCTGAAGTTTGTACTCCCTTATAAATTTGATGATTGAAAGAGGGCCAATTTCATAAAATGGGAAGTTGTTCATCTGATTTGTAGTACATGCACTGAGGATCAAAGAGCAATGAACTTTAGTTTTTGTCTTGGTGATCTATAGAGAGAGAAAAAAAGTTACATAATTGAAACTGAAATGAGTCTGAAGTCCAATGTATTGTTTCTCCATTCAGCAGATTGAATTTTGGCTAGATTCCCAGCAGGAGCATTACAGCACACAATTAGTTTGGATACCACTTGGCATTGTAAAGTACGGAGTCGTCATTGTGTTTTACTTCAAAAATCAATGGGTAACCTTTCTCCATTCATAGACTGTAGCACCTAGGTGTGCCCGTTCATTCATAGCCCTGCTAATTGATATCAGCCGGTGCCAATGTTGTGTATTTAGCTTTCCCAGATCAATGAAGCTTTTGACTGGATTATTAGGCTGTTAAAAATTAGGACCATCCACAAATGATATAAATACTGACCCAATAGACCAGTGCCCTAGTTTTTGTTTTATCAAGTCCAGTCACTGAATGTTAATATCATAAAAAAATTGATAATCAATGAATAGTGGAGCCAAGGGTCCTCAGAAGAGGACAGTTTACATGCTGAATGAGTCATCTCTCCACCCCCTCCTTCATTGTAAAGTTAAAGTATGTGATCATTTGTAGTGAAATAGCATCCCCTCAATATGAAGCCTACTTGAGATGCATCTTTTTGCCATTTCCTCATATTCAAGTATTTATGCGTTTATATGTTACAGTAGAAAATTGAAAGAAAAATGTTTAAACAAAGTAGATTACTGGGACTTGTAGCAGTCACTGAGGAAATGCAGACTGAAAAATTTGCATTCATCAGTCTGTTTTATTGATTTCGAAGGTATATGACTGTAGGTGTAGGTGTTGGGGATATATATTTATACTAAATAGACTAAATAGTATTTGGCTAGGAAAATAATATTTGGCCATGCTACGATAAGGGCATTTCTGGGCAGTGTTTAGTGTATGTAGTCATGCATATTGACCCAGTGACAACAAAATTAAAGTACAGTGGTTTTTGTTCTGGCAGACATTGACATTCTGCTGTGAATTGAACTTGAGATGCACCAGCATGTGGGTAGTTCTGCTGTAGGACAGGATTGGTTAAGTTCAGAGAGAGTGACCTAATTATGATGTCAAGACATTATGTAGATGTTGGCTTGTGACATGCTAGACTCCATTTGACGTACTTGTTGAGCCATTAATCACTGTTTCCTACTCCCACCCAACAGTACTGAATTAATAATTAAGTCTTTTCTATTGTTTCCCCAGACATAACATTGGTTCATTTATTCTGCTTAGCATGCTTAGTAGCGTTGCAGTACGCTTGGCTGTAGCATGTATAAAGTAATCTAATCGGGGATTTACACTAACAGATGAAGGAAGGGAGTGTTTAGGTATCGAAGAAAAAAAAAATCGGACTTCCATGGCAAGAATAAAATTAAAAAGGAAAATAGAAGTAACAACATTAATTTTTATGATGTATCAATAGCTGGCATTGAAAAATTATTTGTTGGTCAAATTTGCACCTAGTCCAAGAATAATTAAATACATTAATGAGCAGTGTGGTATTTGAACAGTGGTGTGTCCTGCCTAGTGTTTCATTGATCAAATTGATGTGATCAATAATGCCTGCGTACTGGCTCTGTAATAATGCTAACCGGCACAGCTAATTTCAGGATTGGCAGCAGATTAGAACATGCTTCAACAAACAGATTGTGAATCATGCAAAACAATAAGTTCTCATTGGTACCCAGGCTCCTTCCTCAAGTCAATATGTTGCTCTTTCAAATTGTTTGAGGTGTTATTTCAGAAATTTTTCTATTTTTTTATGCCATGAAGTTTTCATTGCCATAGACAGAATTCTGATGTACACTTGTAAATTCTCAGTTGTGTTGTGGTACATACAATTTCCTTTCAAGTTTTATCCCAACTGTAAGGATTACAGCTTAGCATGATAATTGCTGCACTAAGATCTGTTTTTATTTGAACATTTTCAGTAGTAGATATTTTTGCTAGATGGATTGCCTAGAGGTCTCCTATCTTCCTGTTACATTTTGAAATATACAGATATTACCATGTTTGTCTGTCCTATTACCCTTATTCCCATTTTTCAGTCACCTGATCAGTCACATCTGCCTTAATTTGTCATCTGTCCTTCAGTAACTTTAAAAATCTTTTTCCCATGAACAGCAAAGTCATGATTATAGTCATATTTATATGGTAACATCCTCAGGTAGTGTAGATTCAATTTTGTTCAAATCATGACCCCCTGGGATAGGGTCGGGCCACGATGAAGGAAAGTTTTACATAGGAGTATATATAGGAAAAATCTTCTCAAGAACAGCAAAGTCATGTTTAAGTCATATTCATATGGAAGCATCCTCAAGTAGTGTACATTGAAGTTTGTTCAAATCTTTACCCTCTTGCGAAAGGGTGTGGCCACAATGTGTAATCAAATCAGAATAGGGGGAAAAGAATCTGTTGATAAAGGGCCATAGTTTCTCAGGTGAGCATTTTGCCCCTTGGCCTCTTGTTTTACCTCTGCCAAAGAGGTTCAAGGCCTAGGGTAGGGCAGTTATACAATATGAAGTAAAAATGCATTTCATCTTCAATAATTTTCATCATCTAGGAGTCTGAGAGCAGTTACAAGCAAAGGTGTTATATAAAGCTCATAAATGAATATGATTATATTCATACACATCTATAGAAATTGATTTTTCTATGTTGATAAAGCATTGAATTCACACATATATGTATGTATGAATGTAGATTATTTATTAATAGAACGGAGTGCTAATATAAGTGTCCTGTAATTTGGTAAGATTAATTCACTCATTGTTCTTTTCTGTTTATTTTCTTATTCCATTGCTTCATTTGGATGGATATATTGTGGTAAGTATTGCTAAAGAGAAAAAAAAATGTATGTAAATTTATTGTAGGATCACATTGTTCATTTATGTTGTATAATTCAAAGAAATTTCATAATGGTAACAAGGCTACTTCAGTGCTTAAGTGTTGTAAGTATTTCAGAGTGTGGGACTACTTCTGTGTAGGTAGCCATTTAGCTAGAAGTACTCTGACTTTTGTGTATATCTGCTGATGTTAAGTGGAATTTTTTTTAAAGTCAGTTGCTTGCGGGTGAAAAGGTC